ATCGTGTACAGGGATCTTTTGCTGTGCACATCCAACCAATCTAACAGTCTGGAAGCATATATTGGTAAGTGGAGAGTCAGCTTTTTCCAGGAAAAAAAATCGTAAAACTAGAATGTGTTTCATATGATGCTGAACAACTTTCCTCTATAAATATAGAGAACTATTTGCAGAGATGCTGCCTAAAACTAGCAGACTAGCTTCCTAGTGTTTCCTCCAAACTTTTTCTCTTCTGCAGTCTGTGTTCTAGCCTCCAGAATCTGTGGAGTTTTCTACTGAGTTGCTATTAAGATCAACCCTGAAATACCTATTCAGTAGGGGTGTGCCAAACGGGCTGTATTCGACTCTGATGAGGATTTGGCCCGAATCAGGGACAGTGATTCGATTTGTTGATTCGGATCACTGTCCCCATTCAATTTGGCCGAATCCGAATCTGAAGATTCGATGCTGATTCAGTGTGTCAGGCAGTCACCAGGTACAGATGTATAACCCTATGTCCTGCTGACATTCACTGGCCTCTCGGGGTGGCTGTGCCCCTACGGTCGAGCTGGGTGAGATCTGGTGTCCTTTCTTTTCCCACCTTCCATGACTTTGATGAGAAAAGGAGATTCACAAAAGGGAGGTGGTGACTACCCGTCTCACACCTGGATTGATCGTAGGGGTTTCCCCCAGTGCCCGAAGTCCAAAGCCAGAATCGAGGAAAGGACCAACTTAAAACCAACCTTTCTACTTCCTTTTGGTTTTGTGGGGGGGGGGGGTCTTTTCTTTCACTGAAGTCCTATGACCTTTGTCCTTTTCTTCTTCTGGGAGTCTTCAAGGTCTGGTTCCAGTTGCCTGGGGCAGTTACCCCAGGAGTCTTCAGCAGTTTACTTTCTCTGCCCTGGACTCATCCCGGATACTTTAAATCAGGACTGCAACAGGCTTAATTGCCGGCGTGCGCTGCTTAACGAGGAGGGGAATTCCCTCTGGAGCGATCACCTAGGAAGGGGCGCAGTTGTCGCTGCTCAGGGTTTTCTGCCCACCGCAGTCTCAATCATGGAGCCCCTCTGAGTGCATGCTCCCCTTCTCTTCTCGGGAGAGTGCCTGGCCCTGATCTGGGCTCTCTAGCCAGCAGGGAGACATCAAGGAGGGGGGAAAAAAAAAAAAAGACGGGGGGGAAAAAACCCCATGGCGAGCGGTTCAGGTGGATCTGCCACCTCTGCTGCACTTAAAGTTTTTCCCTGATCTGCCTTCTGCTGCCTGGCCTCTCCCACCCTCCTCTTCACTCCTACGGCATGGGTGCCACTGTCTTTTTGGGGTCTGACCAAGGGCTTATCTGATTTTCTCTGTCTTTGCCCCACGTCTCCAGCTCCCAGGCTCCTTTCCTCTCCTCCTCCGTCGTCCTTCTCCCCTTTTCCCTGGTTTCGCACATGGTGCAGATTGACCCCAATACACTTCACCTGTTGAGGAGGTAAAACCAGGCAGGTACAGATGGGGAGCTCCCGTCATAGAGTGGACATTGTAACATGGGGTGGTCCATGTCCCTGGTCGGGGACACACTCTAGGTGAGTGCCGTCCGGGCTCTCTCTCAGAGAATCAGCAATTCGGCCAAAGACACAGCTTTAAATGTTTTTTCTACATACCTCGAGGTACCAGGTGCGGCTCGTGAATGCTGCGATGGTGGGGCGGATGGAGCATCCCACAGGATTGTGGGGGGGGCCTCCCATGTGCTCAGCAGCAAACCTGGAAGTGGACTGGAAGTAGTGGACCAAACAGTGTTTTTAAATAGAAATTTTTCTTTTAAATATGTGTTCCCAGGGTGTTTAAGTATGTTCTCTAAATTCAAAATTTTCCATGTACTTCATGCCCGGGAGGGAATCCAGCGGAAGCCAGAGCAAAGCTGTGCCTAACAGTAAGGGAGAAGGGAAGGGGGAAGAGGTGGAGACAGAAGATGCAGAGAGTGGGTGGAGAGTAGTAGGACTGACCTAGGCCCCTGTAGGACTACCTGGGTTAAGGGCCAGAGACAGAGGTGCAGCAGCCCCCTGGGCCTACCCATACTTCTTATATAATGTGTACTTTTTTTATATTTACAAGAAGGGATCTGCCACAAGCATATGTTAGCATGGTCAGGTTTTTTTCTTTCTTTCTTGTATTTTTTCATTGTCATTTTCAATATAAAAGTGGACCCAGAAGGTATTGTGGATTGAATAGAAATGGAGCAGATAAACAAGAAATATATTATACTTGGGGTCAAAAATTACAGCTCCCTATATAAAGTTGTAATTTTTAATAATTGAGAATACAGTATATAATGTTTGAGAACCCAAATATCCGTATTTTAGTCAATATGTTGCCTTGGCAAGTTTGCCATATGCAGTGTATATATTTTTCCTAGGGAGTGCAACTGAAAGGACTGAATACATCTAAATCAGTTGGGTAGACATAATGGAATGGGTAGGAAGGGAAAAGACTATTGTTTTCAGTACTGCGTTCTGTGATCTGAGTTCTAGCCATTTAGCTCTTTTAACCTCCATGCTTACCATTGATAATTTAATTTTAAATTTTGCAAGTCAAATGTTAAAAAACAGTAGCGTTTTGCTGCTCTTTCTGCTACTCCCTTTATAAAACAATACTAAGATTAAGATGGCATCAGACACTAAATAGCATGTTACAAAATCAGCTGCAGTATTTCTGACTGCTATTTTTTTTTTTTTTTTACAAAGATGCATTTTGGGGGGCTGGAAACTTCACCAGCATCTGAGTAAACTTTTAAGCCACATTCCCTTATTTTCACCCTGTAGAGTTTAACATACAAGTAAATGAAATATGGTTTTGTAGAGTAATTGATATTATGCAGTTAGATCACAGTAGACTCTGAAAGCCTATGCAGATTTTATTTATTTGTAATGTATTTACATTGCAGCACTTTTACCATAGAGGCAGCATTCTATAATAGTGTGGCAAATTTCTAAAGTCAATCCTACTTCCCAGGTTGGTTGCTTAAACACGCACGCACGCACGCACGCACGCACGCACGCACGCACGCACGCACGCACGCACGCACACACACCATAAAAAATCTCTTCTTAGTAAAAATGAAGGTAAATTTCAGTTTGTATCATACAAATGTTCTGGCACCTCCAAATATAGTTTGATGTTTGTTTCCCATTTGGTATTTTGAGCATTGCTATATAAAAATGTTAATTAACTTATTTTGTAAGGGGAACCTAAGGTTGTACATACACATTCAGATGATCTGGAAGTATTCTTCTGGGCTTTTTCTCCTGGTAGAAGAATTTATCCAGAGTGCCTTAACAGGCATTCAAATACTGCCAAAATGCAGAGAGTTTTCAGGGATCTGTGGATCCAAGGGGCCCTTGGTCACACAACTCACTGTGCTCTGTAGGCTACTTCAGTCTGCTTGATGACAGGGCAGCCCTGATTCACTTACTCAGATTGCTGAAGTTCAGCCTGTGTCTCCCTACACAGTGTGTTGTCTGCTCCCAGTTTGGCTGGAGCAGAAGAGTGTAGCCTGAATGACACTGTTTCCCTGGGCAGGACCAAAGCACCCTGGGGTGCTGGAGGACAGTGCTGTGACTTCTTTCAGAAATGAACATTTGCACTCTCAGGAGTGATTTAACCCTTGTTGTTTCTAGATTATTTTTCTTCAGGGGTGGCCATTTTTGTTCTAGGAGAAAAATCCTAAACATCTGTCCACTCATAGTTTCTTCTGGAAGAGCAGCAACTCTCCCAGGATAAACTGAATGCATGTAGCCAAAAATGTTCAGCTTCAAAAGTGGGGTAAAAGACCCTATGAATTGGAATGTTCCATTTCTGTTTTTAAAAACTTGCTGCAAAATGGATTCTATCAATAAGGTTTTAAACTGAATTAATGTTGGCTGAGTGTGACATGCAGGTTCGTATTCCCTACTTGCTCCTCTGGGATACTGCCAGGAGCTGCAGGTGTGCCAAGAGATGGGGGGGGCAGGGAGGGAGAGAGAGCAAGCGGCACGGAGGGAGCCCTGGGGCTCAGAGGGATGAGGGGGACAGCGGTGGGCCTATTGCAGGTCGACGGGGGACATAGTCCCCCCACACACCCATGGATCAGGCCTATGCCTGCCTCTCACCCCAGATCCTGACTTAGTCCCGTTTCCCCTCCCCACAGCCCCCCCTCCCGTCCGCAGCTCCTGGATGTCCTGCAGCTCTGTGGAGCAAGAAGGAAAGGGGAACTTGTGGGCAGAGGGGGAGCCCTGGGGGTAGGATAGAGAGAGAGTTCCAAGGAGCAAGGGGAGGGAAGCCTGGGACCAGGAGGTCAGAGGGGAAATCTTGAGGGGTGTGGGGCAGACAGGAGAGACCCAGGTTCTGGAAAATACCTGGAGTGGGAGGGGCAGGGGGATTCTTACCTTTAGGTGCTCTCCTGGCTGCCCCATCATCACTGTGGTAAAAGATGAGGGGGGTGTAGTAATATGACAATCTTATCAGCTTAGTCTGTATGTGAAATTGGCAGAATCTTTAGGCTTGTGAATTGAATTACTGAAATGAAAGTCAATAGTAATGTTCAGACAAAGCAGATGATTTTTTGGAGATGAAATGATGCAGTTACTTCATGTTTACAAAAAGACAAGAGGAGAAAGAAATTGAATAGACATAGCAGGACATGGGGAAACTCCTGAAGACAGTGAAAGGGTGGAACAATATTAAAACTTGTTTCAGTGATACGGGCATATAACTCTCTGGATTAGCTTCTGTTTTGGAAAATCCTATTTTCCAAAAAATTGGGAAAACTGAAGATATCTGGACTTGCACGAAGTCTTTTTAAATATATAATTCAAGAAAGGAAGCTGATTCTTGTCATGTCACATATGTCAAAAACAGTTCTCTGCAATTCCCATTTGGCGTTCACATGAGAAAAGGCTCCAGAAAACCAACTTGTGATGTAGTGAATCAAACAGTACTTGTGTATTAATAGTATTCACATACCAGCCTATGTATTTATGCATTTTCTATTTTTTTTATGTGTTCAGTGACTAACAAGAAACCCACTCAGGCATCTATTACGAAAGTCAAACAGTTTGAAGGTTCCACATCCTTTGTAAGGAGATCACAATGGATGCTTGAACAGCTTCGTCAAGTCAACGGTATAGACCCAAATAGGGTGAGTATATTGTGCGATGTTGGAAAGAATCATTTTATTTAATAGGTTTTTTTTCCCCCGTTTATTGTCAAGGCTCAAAGACAGCTTATGAAGGTGGATCTGCCAATAAATCTTAACTGCAGTTCCTCCTTATAGACTCCCTCTATTCATAGAACTGGCAAAGAGTGACAGTGTAAAACTCTTATTGTCCCCAACCAATAAAGATGCAGTTTTTACAGTGGTAAAATTATTTGTTTAAGGTTTTCTCCTCTCAGAACTTCTGAGTTGTTTCTTACCCCAATGTAAAGCATATGATATCTTTCTGTGGTGAGTCTGCACCAAACAGATTCATGCACAATAAACTTAGGCTGGAAGCCTAAGATGAAATATTTTATAACGAGGGATCCGGGTTTTTTATTTCCCATGGAAAAACAGAAAACCATGGATTTCCTGTTTTTATCAGAGAGAACACAGATTTTTTCCTTTTAGTAGAGAAACCTGCATTTTTCCCTGCTTTTGCAAAGAGCTGTGCAGGCAGATAGAGTTCCAGCCTGCAAGAGCTAATTGCAGAAAGGGCAGGAAACCCTGCCTGAAGGGGGAGGGAGGGAGAGAGGGAAGGGCGGGGCCTGAGGCTCTTACTCACCCAGTTTTGGATCGGGCTTGGATCAGGCTCACTTTCATACCGGGAGACTGAGTTAAGTGGGACACTGGCAGGACTGGAGTGAAAGCTGGCTGTGGGAAACTGCTTTGAGGGGTGCAGCCACACGCTGCTGCCCTCACTCGAGTCCTGTGTGCAGGAGGCACATCGCCAGGGCAGCACGGGGCAAGCAGCGGCAGGGAAATCCCTGCACGGTTCCACTGCTGTTTACCAGGCTGGGTCATGTTTACCTGGCTGGGGAGAGAAGCAGGGTGGCAGGGAGCAGCAGAGCCATGCGAACAAGCTGCTAGCTACTGTTTTCTGCCACCGTGCTTCTCTCCCCTAAGGCCTCTGCAGCCCTGTAGGCACAACCCAGCACGGCAGGCAGCAGCAGAGCCATTTGGAGATCTTCTTGCCATTACTTCTCCCCCTTCCCCCCCGCCCCCGCTGCCCTGATGACGCACCTCCAGCACCTGCCACTGCTTTGAGGGTCACAGCCCCATGTGCAGGAGGCATGTCGCCAGGTCAGCGCAGGACAAACAGCAGCAGGGAGATCCCCATGTGGCTCCGCTGCTGCCGTGCCGTGCCTGCAGGACTGGGGAGGCCCCAGGGGAGAGAAGCAGGGAC